ATGTTGGTGTGAATAAATGCAGAAATTCGTATTTGGGAAATTAGGGGGGTGCGGGATTACCAAAACTGTTGTCCAGGGGGCGAGAAGGGGTTGTTGGGGTGGTCGGAATTAAGAAATGGAGCGAAACGAATGCTTCAAGAGTGTATCAGCTGATGGAAAGGAAGGGGGGGGTGGGGGTCGCCAGGAAGGGTTGGGGGGAGGGAAAAGGGAGGTTTTCCCGTGCGAGGGTTTGGGACTTCCAGCAGGCTGCGTGAGCGGTTTGATGGGGTGAAGGAGACAAATGGTTTTTAATACTTGCGTCTGGGGGAGTGTGAGCAAGTAACATTTATAAAGGATTCAGGGAAACCGGAGGCCGGATTTGATCCTGGAGAGGGGGAAGTACAGTGCCTCCCCTCTAAAGGGGGGGTGTTAATTTGCAGTTTAAAAACTGTATGAAAAGCCCCCTTCGGAAGACAGTGTTGGAGTAATGATGGTTGAAAAGTTTTTCTTTTTGGGGCCCCACCCTCCCTTGGGTGGGAATGGGCCTGTGTTTTAAAATAAAAAAATAATAACGACAACGCCCTGGTTCTGCCTGTAGTGGGGCCCTTCCCCTTTTTGGAATCAAAACTATACTGCGGTACGCTGCAACTCCCCCACCCTTTCCCCCACTTTTCATCACTTTCACGGGTTACTAAAAATTTCAACACACCCCAATGTTTACATAAAATTCACAAGGTAACCCTCTAAAACCGGGCGCTTTACCTCTGCCATATTCCCCAAAGCTCTCCTCCCTCCCCCTCTTCAATTCCCCTCCCAATGCCATAGTCACTTCCACCAGCACACAAGATCATTCCTCCCATCTCTCTAAATCCTCACCTTCACTCCTACACTCCGCAAATTTTTTCCCAAAACCAAATCCAAAAAACCGCTCATACCCCATATTCGCAACCCCCTGACCCTTTTGTATACCCACCTAAGTTTTGTACTACCAGCTATAAATCCCCATTGCCAACCGCGTCTCCGCTGGCCCCGTAACCACAGGCGGGCCTTCCCCAAAAATTCCCCTCCTCTAACCCCCTTGCACCCCGCCCACAAATCTCCTTGGCATATTCTTATCCCCCTTTTAAAAAACGTTTCAATTTCCTCCATTGGTAACACCTCCACAGCACCCTCTCAAAAAAAAACCCTGCACCCCCCCTCTAATCTGTTGAACCCTTGTCATCCTCCCTCATTCTTTCCTTTTTCGCACAAAATATTGCCTGACCCTCCTCTTCGCAACCCATCCCACCACCCAATAAAACGCTTGCACTCTTACTCCCACCCCTAATCCTCCCACAAAAATTTTAAAATCCCCTCCCTCCACCCCCTCACCCATTTTCGTACATTCAGCTTCCCCTACCCCAAAAAATCTCTTTGGCAAAACCCTCCCCAAATTTAAATCAGCATAAACCACCCTATATCTGAATAAACGCTTTTCCGCTGCACCCGCTCACCCTCACACCCGCACTTTCAAACCCACTAGTCGTGCAGCTAGCCCTTTTTTATGAAATGTGTGTCATCTCGCTCCCCCCTCCATCAACTTTTTCCTTCAATCCCCCACCCCTCAATAGATCCCCAAAAACCCGCCAAAAAAACCCCTGGGCCCCCTCCGGTTTCCCATCCTTCCTACGCCCACACAGTTTCCGCGCCCCCAACTATTGTCCTGACGGTAATGACCCCCAAATAATTACCAAACATTATTCTCAAATTATTCTTTAAACCCTTACCATTTCCCGCTGGCACAACCACAAACTCGCCAACCTCTCACCTCTCCCCACCCTCTATCTTAACACACGAACCCCCCCCCCCCTTCTCGGATCAGGATTCCCCCCCCCTCCCTTTATTTGCCCCCCCGAATACATCACAACCCTCGTACCCATCCACCTCCAATTTCCCCTTTCCCAGCTTGAAATTGGGTTCCCGCAAAAAACAATGTCTATAGCAAAACGTCTTAAAAATCCCTTTAACCCCCGACCTTTTCACTCGCCACAACCATTAAAATTTTCCCTTTATGACCGGAAACCTACTTAGTGATTCACCCTCTCCCCATTTCCCTTTCACTGAATGCTTTTGGGTGGTGTCTGCTTCTTCCCTTTTCTCTCCACGCCCACTTGTGGGGTTTTCCCCCCGATCCAAACCCCGACCAGGGTACCTTTAGAGCTCCCCCGCACCCCAACCCACGGCTTTTTCCCGGTCTCTGTGCCGGGGTCAAAAAAATCTCCGAGTCGGAAAATGTCACTGCCCTCTTTCGTTGACACTCTCTGCACCCCTTTCCAACCACTGGTGCCCCCTGTGATTCGCATTCACCCAACCTTCCACCACTCCTGGCGAGTCATCTGCCATGTTTCCCCAAACTTTCCCAAATTCTCATCTTAAAATTTCAGGGTTCCCCATCCTCAAGTTTTCCTCAAAACCTTTTTTCAAAGGATTTTTTCCCTTTACTTCACCAGTAGACCTCCCCCTACCCGCCTTCACCACTTTGCACAGTCTTTCCGGGCTCCAGGCAGATGCCTCACATCCCACAACGCGACAGTGATGGGCTGGTACCACCAGTGGCAGCTCACGCTCCCCTTCCTCACTCCCGGGAATGCCACTTTTGTACAGGTGACTCATCAGCAGACCCCCCTCCATTTTTTTTTTTCTTTCCCATTTACTACCTAGTTTCCTGTCTCCGCTGCCACTCCCACACTGGTGCCCTAGGGGTTTTGACCACATAAAAAACACGTCTTCTCTGCCCAGGTAGTCACCATACCTGCTCCAAAAAGCGTCCCTTGACGTAAGAGGGGTGGAATCCTCGCGTCTCTTTAGCGTGAAAGTCATCCGGGAAGCCGCTACGCCCATCCACCTTTACCCGCCAAGCCAGGGGTACAGTTCCATATGTTCAAAAACATTCCGAGGTCATCTCGTCCACCAAAAGGGACATTTTGGACTTTCATCCATGTGTAATGCCTAGACACGTCGATGAGTCGAACACGTATTGCTGAATTAACGTCCACACTCCCGTCCTGGTACTTGTCAACCAGCCGTTCATACACTCCAGCTGATCTCAACTTGACGAAAATACGATAGGCACCATTTAGCGCCACACCATACAGTTCTTGATCCGCAACACCATAGGTGTCACGGATAATTTGCGGTAAAAGCACTTGTGCAGACTGAGGCGTTATTGCACCACACACCAATTCAAGGCACACCATGTGCACACGCCTTCTCACAGACTGCGCCAAGTTGTGAAAATATAAGTCTCCTCCACTGGCCAGCAGAGGGCAGTAGTCACGCGTCCGCACTCTGCTCAGGTCAAGCGGCGATATACGACAGTCAAGATACTAAGACCAAAAGAGCCATCATCATTGGGTTTTTTCCTAAGAGCATACCGAATTTGTAGTCCTGAGTTTCTTGAAGAGGATTGTTCATACATTCACCAAACCTTCACTAAGTTACATTTTCCTTCCTTTTTCATCAAAGACTGCAAGAAAAGAGCTCTTCAGATCATCAATTCTCCACGCACCAACATCACTCCCAACAAAGTTATAATTCTTCACAACAGCCAGGTTGCACTGAACATTTCTAAAGTACTTTCACAAGCTAACACCAGAGTCGCCATCGCTTCCAGCACTTCAATAAAGGTCTGACCAGGACAAAATCAAAGCACCATGAACCAGTCAATGCAGGGGTTTACACTATACCCTGTGGAGGCTGCGACAAGATTTATGTAGGTGAAACAGCAAGAAACCTCGACACCCGCCTCAATGAACACATTTACGCATGTAGGAACGATAACTTGAACAACGCCTGTGTACAACACCGAAATTCCATCAATCATCTCATGAAATTCAGGGACGCCCAATTAGTGATCAAAGAAACTAATTTCCGCAGACGCAAGTGCCTCGAATCAGCACTAATCGCTATTTCGAATACAATTAAACAAAAAGGCAGCTTCACCATCTCTGAAGTCTTAGCAAGAATCCTCCTGAAAACAGTAAACCCTGCCATCACATAGTCTCTCCTGTTAATACTACACAAAGCACATTACGGAGAATGAACACTGAAACAGGCCTTCTCTATCCAGTCTATATTTGTCTAACCTATTTTTATGTTACCCAAGTAATAGCTTTTATATCCTTTTACTCATGTACGAGTTAATTGCTCTACCAAACCATACCACAGGCGGGATTTGAACCTGCGGTCAGAGAGTCTCAAAACTCCAGACCGTCGCGTTAGCCACTGGACCAGCTAGCCACAAAAAGATTCATCCAACTAGGTATATTTCTACACCATAGGAAGGTTAGCATAGGCACCACTGTGACCACAAATGCAAGTTTTTACAGACGAATTTCCAGCTAGCGTGGCCGTGACGAACTCTAGCTCAAGTCCCCTCACTGCCGTCAACATGACTCACGAAATCGTAATGACACGATTGCAAATAAACCATACCACGGGTGGGATTTGAACCCGCGGTCAGAGAGTATCAAAACTCCAGACCGTCGCGTTAGCCACTGGACCTATGCTATGCCTATGCTAACCTTCCTATGGTGTAGAAATATACCTAGTTGGACGAATCTTATTGTGGCTAGCTGGTCCAGTGGCTAACGCGACGGTCTGGAGTTTTGAGACTCTCTGACCGCGGGTTCAAATCCCGCCCGTGGTATGGTTTGTTTGCAATCGTGTCATTACGATTTCGTGAGTCAATTGCTCTACCATATTGTATTACTACTACTACTATAACTTATGTCACTACTACTACTACTACTACCACTAGTATTGCACCTCACTCTGAGCCTATATATACCCTGTGTCCTTGTATTGTTTGTAACAGCTTGACAAAGCTCCTGGAGAGCGAAACGTTGCCACAATAAAATGTCACATTAGTTGCACTTGTGTTCTTTTACTTTACAAATTGTATTGTTGCAACACTTTACACATACTGATTTACATTATGTGATTTTTTAAGATAATAATGCATTACCATTGTGATGATCCAGTTGTCAGCTATGTCGCCGCAGTATCTGGCTATACAAGTTGATGAACAAGGCATGAAGCCGGATCTACTTAGAGCTGAGTTAACAAAAGCTGTTAAGGAGGAAGCCAGTGGTATACCTAAGGTGAGAATTATCATAAGATGTTGGTAGTGGCTTGGTTGGTAGCGTCTTCAGTTTACACACTGAGGGTCCGCGATCGATCCCCGGCATTGGTGAAACGTTGGGCATGTTTCCTTGCACCTGCTGCCCTAGTTCACCTAGCAGTAAATAGGTACCTGGTGGGTCGCATTCTGTGAGGCAATATTAACTTTGCCAGAAATGCTTTGCATAAGTATGCCAACAATGTCAGCTAGTTTTGTACCATGTACGTTGTTGAAATATATTATTATTATTATTATTATTATTATTATTATTATTATTATTTGCTGTATAATAAAGAATAATAATTACCATACTTCTATACTCGTGCAATAAACTTTAGTATTGTATTTCTGGGTGAGTCAGTATCGTTTTAGAAGAATTTATCAACCGGAAGTTGTAAGTGAAAACTGGGCGAGGTTTGGGTTCGTCCTGGACTATTATTTAAACTTGATAATGGTTGGCTAGTTTTGGCTTCCCCTGCGTAGTTTAAGCAAGGAAGTGGTGAACATACCCAGACGGTGAAGGTGAAAGACTACGTATGCTCTTATCATCACATATCTTTATTTACTACAAGTACATGTACAAGGTATACAGTCCTAGCTGACATCACTGACATACTACTATATAGAAAGCCACTTGTTATGCTGAGCATTTCGGGCAAATTAGGTCAGTTTTGTCCCAGGATGCGACCCACACCAGTCGACTAACACCCAGGTACCCATTTTGAACTGATGGGCGAAAAAGGACAGGGACAGCAGGTGTCTTACGGAAATACGTCCCTAATGTTTTCCAGCCGTACCGGAGGAGATTCGAGCCCCGGACCTGTGTGTGCTCTGAGTGCGCCAGCGATCGGGCTACGGGACACCTTGAAGTGAGCCCCAACTGAAATGCTAATAATAATAATAATCTTTATTTCTACAAGTACATGTACAATTTTGTCCCCAGGATACGACCCCACACCAGTCGACTAACACCCAGGTACTCATTTTACTGATGGGTGAACATTGGACTGCAGGTAACTTAATGTTTTCAGCCGTACCGGGGATCGAACCCCGCAGACCACAGTGTGTGAGCTGAGTGCGTTAGCGCTCGAGCTCTGGGACACCTATGTAAGTATGCAAATAAATGGTATAAAATACTGACACAATAAAAAAAATGAACACATAAGCAGTATAATGTGATCCTTTATTAACAACGTTTCGCCCACACAGTGGACTTTATCAAGTCACAAACAGATGTTTGTGACGATAAAGCTCACTATGTGGGCGAAACGTTGTCAATAAAGATCACATTATACTGCCTATGTGTTTATTTTTGCAAATATAGGCAGGCCCCGCCTATACAGCAGGTTAGCTTCCAGGTTGCTGCTGTAAAGTAAATTATAGCCATCTTTTTCACTTTCAAAGGCATATAAAAGCCTGAAATATATTTACAATATTAAATGAGCAACATCGTCAGGCCTAAAAAAAATTGTATATATAACACACACATTACTTACCTTAAAGTATTTTCGTCCTTAGCTTAGAGTGAGTGGTAAATATATTTATTGTAGGAAGTCTGAATAAATGAAGAATGAGTGTAATTGAAAAGTGCTGTATTAGCGAAGAGCTGTAAAGAGGGGCCTGCCAGGACCCTCTTGGAAATAAGTCACTCTGATTTTTTTGTTATTCTAGGTTGAAGATTGAGACACTAGTGCAACCTATGGGAATCTTTATTCAGGAAACGTTTCGCCACACAGTGGCTTCATCAGTCTAATACAAAGTAGAAAGGCGTAAGGAGAGGAGGAGTATGAGGTAATCAGTCCCTCAACCTGTCGGTTTTTCAAACCATTCATCACAACTGTCAGACACTGCAGCATCATGGGATCTTGTTACAAAGAATTCTTCAACACTTGTTCAACCTTTGGACGAAGACCTACTTCGACTAGTGGATGGTACCACTATGACCCCGCCTCCGCCTGCTTCACCTCACCTCACTACAGTATATAAGCCACGTCTACGGCCCTATGCTGTACATTCTGCAAGATTGATGGACTGAACACATCGACTCCAGGTTGAGGGACTGATTACCTCATACTCTTCCTCTCCTTACGCCTTCTTTGTATTGGACTGATGAAGCCACTGTGTGGCGAAACGTTTCCTGAATAAAGATTCCCATATGCTGCATAAGTGTCTCAATCTTCAACATTCTTAAGGCCTACAGGAAAGAATGGTTTTCTCTGCTCACAAAAAATTCTTATAGGCCGCTTTTTTACAACGGGAAATTCTTTAAATTTTTCGCCACGCGTTTGTTGAGAGAGCGCACGACCCGTAGGAGAGCATAGAGTCTTGGGAGGGGAAGGACGGGAGGCATTCAGGTTTAATCCAAGGGAGGGGAGGACAGGTTTAGTTTCTTGGATTAAGAGCTCCTCAGCAGCATCAAGGAACCTCCCGCCACGGTGAAGACTCATGACCAGACGTTTTCTGACCGGTAGGATTAACGTGACTTTTGACCTACATGGGTAACTTCTGATCTACATGGGTAACTTCTGACCTACATGGGTAACTTCTGACCTACATGGGTTACTTCTGATCTACATGGGTAACTTCTGATCTACATGGGTGACTTCTGACCTACATGGGTAACTTCTGACCTACATGGGTAACTTCTGATCTACATGGGTGACTTCTGACCTACATGGGTAACTTCTGATCTACATGGGTAACTTCTGACCTACATGGGTAACTTCTGACCTACATGGGTTACTTCTGATCTACATGGGTAACTTCTGACCTACATGGGTAACTTCTGATCTACATGGGTGACTTCTGACCTACATGGGTAACTTCTGACCTACATGGGTTACTTCTGATCTACATGGGTAACTTCTGACCTACATGGGTGACTTCTGACCTACATGGGTAACTTCTGACCTACATGGGTAACTTCTGACCTACATGGGTGACTTCTGACCTACATGGGTAACTTCTGACCTACATGGGTGACTTCTGACCTACATGGGTGACTTCTGACCTACATGGGTGACTTCTGACCTACATGGGTAACTTCTGACCTACATGGGTAACTTCTGACTACATGGGTAACTTCTGACCTACATGGGTGACTTCTGACCTACATGGGTGACTTCTGACCTACATGGGTGACTTCTGACCTACATGGGTGACTTCTGGCCTACACGGGTGACTTCTGACCTACATGGGTGACTTCTGACCTACACGAGTGACTTCAGACCTACATGGATGACTTCTGACCTACATGGGTGACTTCTGACCTACACAGGTGACTTCAGACCAATATGGGTGACTTATGGCCTTCTTGGGTGACTTCTGACCTACATGGGTGACTTCTGACCTACATGGGTAACTTCAGACCTACATGGGTGACTTCTGACCTACAAGTGACTTTCAGACCTAATATGGATGACTTCTGACCTACATGGGTGACTTTGGCCTACATGGGTGACTTCTGACCTACACGGGTGACTTCAGACCTATATGGGTGACTTCTGGCCTACATGGGTGACTTCAGACCTACACAGGTAACTTCTGACCTACATGGGTGACTTCTGACTTACAAGAGTGACTTCTGACCTACATGGGTGACTTCTGACCTACATGGGTGACATCTGGCCTACATGGGTGACTTCTGACTTACATGGGTGACTTCTGACCTACATGGGTGACTTCTGACCTACATGGGTGACATCTGGCCTACATGGGTGACTTCTGACTTACATGGGTGACTTCTGACCTACATGGGTGACTTCTGACCTACATGAATGACTTCTGGCCTACATGGGTGACTTTGACCTACATGGGTGACTTCTGACCTACATGGGTGACTTCTGACCTACATGGGTGACTTCTGACCTACATGGGTGACTTTTGACCTGCATGGGTGGCTTCTGACCTACGTGGGTGACATCTGGCCTACATATGTGACTTCCGACTTACATGGGTGACTTCTGACCTACATGGGTGACTTCTGGCCTACACGGGTGACTTCTGACCTACATGGGTGACTTCTGACCTACACGGGTGACTTCTGACCTACATGGGTAACTTCTGACCTACATGGGTGACTTCTGACCTACATGGGTGACTTCTGACCTACATGGGTGACTTCTGACCTACATGGGTGACTTCTGGCCTACACGGGTGACTTCTGACCTACATGGGTGACTTCTGACCTACACGAGTGACTTCAGACCTACATGGATGACTTCTGACCTACATGGGTGACTTCTGACCTACACAGGTGACTTCAGACCAATATGGGTGACTTATGGCCTTCTTGGGTGACTTCTGACCTACATGGGTGACTTCTGACCTACATGGGTAACTTCAGACCTACATGGGTGACTTCTGACCTACACGAGTGACTTCAGACCTATATGGATGACTTCTGACCTACATGGGTGACTTTGGCCTACATGGGTGACTTCTGACCTACACGGGTGACTTCAGACCTATATGGGTGACTTCTGGCCTACATGGGTGACTTCAGACCTACACAGGTAACTTCTGACCTACATGGGTGACTTCTGACTTACAAGAGTGACTTCTGACCTACATGGGTGACTTCTGACCTACATGGGTGACATCTGGCCTACATGGGTGACTTCTGACTTACATGGGTGACTTCTGACCTACATGGGTGACTTCTGACCTACATGAATGACTTCTGGCCTACATGGTGACTTTGACCTACATGGGTGACTTTCTGAAACCCACATGGGTGACTTCTGACCTACATGGGTGACTTCTGACCTACATGGGTGACTTTTGACCTGCATGGGTGGCTTCTGACCTACGTGGGTGACATCTGGCCTACATATGTGACTTCCGACTTACATGGGTGAC